GAAATTACTGCTCTATTGTTCCTGAGGCTGGAAGTCCAAATTTGGGATGTTGGCCAGGGCTATGCTTTCTCTGAAGGTTCTCAGGGATGATCCTTTCTCAATCTCTGCCTTCATCACCACCTAACATTCTTTCTTCTGTCTGTGTCTCTGTATCTCTTTTCTTCTTTTATGAGGGCACCACTCATATTCATTTATGACCTAGCCTACTTCAGTGTGACCTCATGTTAACTGATAAAATCTTCAAAGACCTTATTTAGAAACTAAGTCACTTTCACAGGTATCAGGGGGTGAAAACATCAATGTATCTTTTGGGGAGACAGAAGTCAATCCTTAACAGAGACTAATATCTATTTTATATGAATGTGAGATGCAGATTCTTCATGTGTGGTAGCCACCAACTGCTGCACGATTTTGTATAATATTTTGATATTCTAGATCCAGAACAAAAACAATTAGTATATTCTTCAACCAAAACATTCCAATTCTGGGTATAATCCTAAAACAAATATGAGATTTCACTGCTAAAGATGTTTAATACCACATTACTTGTACTAGTGATCAAAAGACCAAAATGGATGTCAGAAGAGACTCTGAAACTTGCTCTTAAATACAGAGTTGCTAAATGATGAAATAAAAGAGCTGAACAGAAGATTTCAAAGGTTGGCTTGAGAAGGCAAAGTAATTTAAAGGATTCTGTGGGCAAAATATTGAATGATGCAGGAAGCATCAAGAAGATGGAAGGAATACACAGAATCACTGTACCAAAAAGAATTGGTTGATTTTCAACCATTTCAGGAGGTAGTATATGATCAAGAACCCATGATAGTGATGGAAGAAGTTGAAGCTGTTCTGTAGGAATTGGTGACAAACAAGGCTACAGGAATTGGTGGAATACCCATTGAGTTGTTTCAACCAATGGATGCAGTGCTGGAGACACTTACACTTATTTATGGCAGGAAATTGGAAGACAGCTACCTGGCCAACCAACTGGAAGAGTTTGATATTTGTGCTCATTCCGAAGAAAGGTGATCCGATAGAATGTGGAAATTGTCTAAGCATATAATTAATACCACATGCAAGCAAAATTTTGCTGAAGGTGATTAAAAAACAATTGCAGCAATATATTGACAGGGAGCTTCCAGAAATTCAAGCTGGATTCAGAAGAGGATGTGGAAAGAGGGTTATCATTGCTGACGTCAAATGGATCTTGGCTGAAAGCAAAGAATACCAGAAAGGCATTTACCTGTGTTTTATTGACTATGCAAAGGCATTCAACTGAGTGCCTCATAACAAATTATGAAAAACATTGCAAAGAATGGGAATTCCAGAACACTTAATTGTGCTCAGGTGGAAACTGTACGTAGACCAAAAGGCTGTTGTTTGAACAGACCAAGGGGATACTGTATGGTTTAAAATCAGGAAGGGTGTGTGTCATGGTTGTATCCTCTTACCATGTTTATTCAATCTGTATATTGAGCAAATAATCTGAGAAGGTGAACTATATAAAGAAAAAGTGACATGAGGACCGGATGAAGAATCATTAACAACTTACAATATGCAGATGACACAACCTTGGTTGCTGAAAGTGAGATGACTTGAAGCACTTACTCATGAAGATCAGATTACAGTCTTCAGTATGGATTACACTTCAACATAAAGAAAACAAAAATCCTCACATCTGGACCAATCAGATACATCACAGTAAGTGGAGAAACAATTGAAGTTATTAGAGATTTCATTTCACTTGGATCCACAATCAACATCTGTGGAATCAGCAGTCAAGAAATCAGATGCCACATTGCATTGGGCAAATTTGCCGCAAAAAACCTAAGAGTTTTTGTTAGGAAACAAAGATGTCACTTTAAAGACTAAGGTGTGCCTGAACCAAGCCATGGCATTTTGTATTGTTTCATATGCATGGGAATGAATAAACTGTGGTGTTGATGAAGAATACTGAAAATACCATGGGCTGTCAGAAGAATGAACAAATCTTCCCTGGAAGAAGTGCTGCTGGAATTCTCCTTAGAAGCAAGAATGGCCAGACTTCATCTCACCTACTTTGGTCCTGTTGTCAAAAAGGAACCCAGAGAAGGCTATCCTGCCTGGTAAAGTGGAGGGTCAGTGAAGAAGGGGAAGACTCTCAATGAGATGGATTGACACAGTGGCTGTAAACATGGGCTCAAGCATAGCAAGGATTGTGAGGATGGCACAGGACAGGGCAGCATTTAGTTCTATTGTACATGGAGTTACTATGAGTTGGAGACAACTTGACGACACCTAACTACAACAGCTATAATGGTGAAACCATGCTTATGCATTTTGGGAACAGAATAAAGAAATAAATTACTAAAGCAATATGTTTTTGGAAACATACTCAACAAGGTGGTCTACTGCATAAAGTATATTGATCACAAGTGGTATAGCTAGAGAAACAGTGAAAACTGACAGAACAAATCAAAGAATCAAATCAAAGAATGCTTTCTACCCTTTTCTATCCTAGCACACTCTAGGAGCTTGGTCTTGAAGAGAGAGTTGAGGAAGGTTTCTTGGAGTCACACCATCTCCTGATATCCTAAACTCTAAGCAGTATAGGATACAGATCAATCTTTCCCTGGGGTGGGTGAATAGTAATGAGAGGATTTGATGTTTAAATTGATTTGAAATTAAAATGATGGGATTTCAGTAGTAAGAAATGAATGGAAAGAGGTTCCAAGACTGTGGAATCTTCCCAAGATATTATTCCTTCAAAGTAAATTCAACAGAGTAGAGCTGCAAAACTCTTACATATATAACACAGTTAGATGTTTGCTATATAGAGCAGTTGCTTTTAAAACATCATCCACAGAACAAAACCAAAAACTTGGTAGGACATGTTTCTCATACCTAAAGTTAATAATGATTTTGCTTATTGTGTGAAATTATTTTTGGTATTTTCATGTTTACTTAGTATTCATTTATAATTTCAAATTCTATTTAAATTGTTTTTCCCCAAAAAGATATGTATTAATAAGTATTACAATGTCCATTAAGATGAACTAGGTTTAAAACTGCTTTAGTGTACATGTTTTAGTATATGTGTTTACTCTACTCTCATTATGGCAAAATCTCACTATAAATAAGTGTACATTGAATTGATACCAATTTGACTAATAAAAGTCAAAATATGTTAAAATAGAAGCTGATATGCAAATAACAACAAAAATAAAAGTGTAAAATAAAGTTATGATACATACTACAACACAGATGAACATTGAAAACATGCTGAATGAAATAAGTCAGTTGCAAAAGGACAAATATTGTATGTTTTCACTTATATGTAATCTCTAGACTGGGCAAGTATCTACAGACCTACGTTTACTGATGGTTACCAGGAGTGGGCAGGAGAGATGGACAAATGGGAACTTGTTGTGTAGGGGAAACTAAGGTTCTTTAAAATATGATGGAAAAATTTAGAAACACATAATGGTGATGATTTTACATTAAATTTATTAAGCGCAACACATGATAAAGTTGTTGAATGGTGATATCAAAAATGAAATTACTTTTGAACACATTGGCTAAAAGTTTTTGTAATATCTAAGATAAAAAAATATGTCCTCAAGAGGATAATATGTTGGTGAGCATACATTATTTGTATTGATGGAAAATTTGGAAATTTTGTAACGGAAAGGTCTAAATGATTGTGTCACTTTATGTTGCTAAAGCAAACATTCATTAACAAAACAAATGACTTCTAAGAAAATTTCCTCTTGTTGAATTTCTCTTAGGCAATTTGCTTTTTGCTTCAGAAAATTAAGCAGATGGTGGAAATTTTGACAGCGCAGGGTACATGATTGGGAAAAGGTCATCAAGAAGTGAGAGGGGCAAAGAAGGGGAAGGAAAAAGCCACCACTCTAGTCTGTTACACACTTTGTTGGCAATCTACCCTGTGTCCCATATTTTGGAAAATCCTATATGCATCTTTCATCCTTGGTTGCAATCTTGTGTCTTACAGTGGAGTCTTACAGTGCCTTGTGCCTTACAGTGCAGTCTGTCCTTGACTGCAGCCCTAGGCAGTCATTGGTTTATTGACCTCATTAGTCACAACCTGAAGTTAAGACAACATATGGTCTGCATTGTTGAGCTGTTCTGGACTTCAAATTCCTGTTTTTCGTTCTCTGAATCTTGCTCTTGGAAGTGTGGGTCCCTTCTCTTCCTCAAACTATATCCTTTCATCTTGTATTCTCAGATTTTGCTCAAAGATCAAAATGCCTTTCTGCTAAATTGTCTATTGCATGAAATCATGGTCTTGATATTTATTTAAATTTTACTTTCTAGGATATTTTAGAAATATACTTTGTGTGATTCCCTGATGAATCTTTCTTTCTCTGGTTTGACCTATCTTCCTGTGGAAGTTCCTATTTGTTTTCAGCCTGGATCTTTCCAAATCCAAATACCTCAGTTACCAACTATTAAAGCTTTCTACTTCTCAACTCTCCATCCTTTACCACACTCAAGAGTCAACAGGTTTGTTTTATGTTTCCTCCTCTTGTGGTTTGGACACTTGACATATTACTCAGTGAAATGCATAGTAAAAGAAACAGATGAGCTGAAGATCTATCAATGCAGCCCAAAGATTACCCAAGGAAAATGGGTAGATTAATATGTTTTTCTGATGCTTTGCTCTACCTCTAATCCAGAATGAGTCTGAATCATCTTTTCCACCTCACCTTCTTATTTGTTGTGTGCCGTCGAGTCGGCCCCGACTCATAGTGACCCCTCCTTGGGTTTCCGAGGCAGTATCACACGGAAGTAGGGTTGCCCAACCTTCCTTCCGAGGAGTGGCTGGTGGGTTTGAATCGCCAGCCTTCTGGTTAGCAGTCCTTCTTATAGCTCTTTGAATTTCTAAGATAATTTCCTGCATCCAGTATCAGAGGTAATAAGGAAATACTCTTATTTTCAACTCACCAGATATCTTGCTTTTATACACCAATTACCCATCCTACTCTGGCTGTGGTCAGTTACCTGAAATATTGAGTATATTTTCTCAAAGTCCTTTTCACTGCTGCTTTCACCTCATTGTTCTTCAGGCTGTAGATGAGGGGATTCACTAGGGGAGTGATCACACTGTACTGCACAGAGAAGATCAACTCCAACTGTGAATCTGAGTTTGGCATGGCGTAGCGAAGGAAAGCTGAGCCATAAAAAAGGAGCACTGCAGTGAGGTGGGAGGAACAGGTAGAGAAGGCCTTGTTTCTACCTGCAGAGGAACTGATGTTCAGGACAGTGGAGACAATGAGGGTGTAGGAGAAAAGGATTAGGACACAGGATCCAAGTCCATGGAGAAGACTGGAACAGAGCATAACAGTAAAATTGGTGGAGACATCAGAGCAGGATAGAGGAAAGAGTGAAGGCAGCTCACAGCTGTAGTGGGGAATGGACATATCCCCACAGAAGTCCAAGTTCATAGCTAGAAGAATGTTGATCAGTGCATCCAGAAAGCCTAGGCTCCAGGATCCCCACACCAGCCTCTTACAAAGTTGGTTGCTCATAATCTGACCATAGAGCAAAGGGTGGCAGATGGCAACATAGCGGTCATAAGCCATCACGGAAAGCAGGCAGGCTTCAGTGCCTCCAGTATCAAACAAAAAGAAAACTTGAGTGAGGCAGCCCTGCATAGAGATTGTTTTCCTTTGAGACAGGAGGTTCTCCAGCAACTTGGGCACTGTTGTAGAAGAGAAGCAAGGGTCCAGGAAAGAGAGGTGACTTAGGAAGAAATACATGGGCATAAGGAGGTGTGAATCCACCCTGATAACCAGTAACATCAACAGGTTCCCCATCAGGGTCTGGAGGTAAATCCCCAGGAACAACACAAAGAGCAGAGCTTGGATCTTGGGATCAGCAGACAGCCCAAGGAGGATGAATTCAGTGATAGTGCTGTGGTTCCTGCAGGCCATTTAGAGAATCCTTTACTCTGTAAAATAAGAACAGCAATTGAACTGAGCCCTCTTGACACTGCATATGCCCAGGACATCCCCATCTTTTCCCTACACACTATTCTATCCTCAGTCTCCATTTCATCATAAAAATTTCAAACCTGTCATCACCTACCCCTCAGGTATATTTTTCCCCTCCCTGTCTGCAACAGGAGTTCAGAAGTCCCATGATCAATCATGCTAAATTTGGACTCTCATACTTATTCTTCTGCATCTTAATTTATCTTATTCAATTGGACTCTTAATTTTGTTTAGTTTCATCATCTCTTGTTCATTCCAGTATACTTCTGAAAATGGTTGTCTAACATCTCCTCTCTCTCTTATCTTTTATTCTTTGATTCTGTACTCTACATTCTTTCATAATTCATTAGTGCTTAAAGAGAGCATGTTGGGTTGGTTCAGATTTTTTTGTCATTTATATGGAAATTTTAAAGGGATTGTCCAATTTTATTCCAGGGACAAAAGTAAGAGACTGGTGTCTGTAACTACGTGTGTGGGCAATTTGAAGTGAATTTGGTAGCAATGAAAGAAAAGATATCTAAACCATTTTGCAGTTGAAAAAATTGAAGTAAAATATCTAAGTTTCCACATTAGTTGGCTTTGACTCTATATTATATGGTTATGTTAAGAATTTTTCCTTTTTTATCAAAATGCCTCTTGGTCACTGCTCATAGAATAAAATGAAATTTCTGCTTGGTAATCAAGAACCTCTATCATCTCATATTAACTTCTCTTCCCACTCAGACCTCCAAGCACTCCCCAAATGGCCCACTGCCGTCCAAAATAAAGACCATCCATAATAATCACCACAGGTGATGACTTAAATTCAGTCAGTAGGGACTCATTCCATTAGACTGAATGTGGATCTAAAAATAAATGGAGACAATTCTGGGAGACATAGCACATGAATTTGACTTTCAAATTTCCCTCTTTTATGAACAGTGTGATTGTATGTCTTTGAGGCCATTATATGTCTGAATGGTTCTCCTTTCTTTTCCTCAGAATGAGAAGCTTGTACCCGATGTCTTAACCTCCCCAACCCTTCCAGAGCCCCATGCCATGTGAAGTTTGAGCCTAGAACACTAGCAGTCTCCATTGTCAAAGCTCTCTGTTACTCAGGAAAGAAGTGTTCTTCCTCAGCAGCTGAGTACTAGATTCTGACAAAGGGGAAAGACAATAAAACATGGAAGGGAGAAGATTCCAAGCGAGACATGCTTTAAAGAGGCAAGAAGAGAAGTTTGGATGAGAAAGAAAAATAACTGGAAAGAGTTGGGAAGGAGGAAAAATATTCAGATAAATCATTCCTCATGTACAAATATCCTGGCTTTTTCTGGTACAAAGTGCATCTGTTTTTCTGTCTTTCCTGAATGATGAACATATCTGAAATCAGTAATTCTTCATGTATAAAAGAACCAAGTCTTCTGAGATTGACTATAGAAATAGCACACAATGTGTGTGCTTCTTATAGAAGCCAAAATAGGCAAGAAATAGGCAAGAGATAGAACAGTCCAAACTCTTGATAATCTCGAAGGAAAATCTGTATCCTTATCCTTGGACTGCTTCCCCAATAGCCACAGTGGAAATACTAACAATCAAAGTACAGAATTTATCTCATGTGAGTTCTTATTTCTTTTTCCTTGTAAATCTAAACACACTACTAAATGTAACTGAAAAATTCAGATCTAACCTCTGTAATGCAAAGGGTTAAATGCTTGACTACTAACCAAAAGGTTGGAGGTTTGAACCCACCCAGAGGTGCCTTGGAAGATATCTGGAGATCTGATTTCTAAAAGTCACAGCCTTTCTACTCTGCACACACAGGGTCTCCATGAGTTGGAATCAACTCAAGGGCAAAAACAATAAAACCTTTTAAGGAGGCACTTATATCTCGAATGTCAGTGTCTTGGCCAGTGGAGCCAGACAGCCCAAGGGACATCTGGCCAATGATGTGAAGTTAGAGCTTGAAGCCAGATTTTAGCTCATTATCTAAATAATGGTAACTTTCAAAGAGGCACAGAGGATTCTCCAACAAGTGGGAGTTTTGACCTTCTGTGTTGCTGCAATGTTTTTTTTAACCCTCTGAGGAATTTCTTGGGGATTCTCAATAAATAAAATATTCTTCTTGCTCATGAAAAACTTATATTCTGGGCAGTGAACTTACCTGTTGTTGTTGTTGTTGTTATTTGCCATAGAGTCGGCCCTGACTCCTAGCGACCCCTCCTTGGGTTTCCGAGGCAGTTATCACTACGGGAGTAGGATTGCCCAACCTTCCTTCCGAGGAGTGGCTGGTGGGTTTGAACCGCCAGCCTCCTGGTTAGCAGTCAAGTGCTTTGGCACTATGCTACCAGAACTTACCTACATGTCTAAAATGTTACTCTTAATGAGAATAAATTTAGTCCAAATGAGTTTTTTTTTTGTGTGTGTGTGTATAACTTTACCTCATAGTGTTGACCAAATGGCTCAGCTAATTTTTTTTTTTTTTTTCTGTAAATAGTCTCTTTTGAAAATGCTATTTGGTGTGAATTTTACCTTATTTGATGTATATTAGTGTAGAATGTTGAGTTATATGTCTTATACTATATTTATCTTATATATATTCTGTTTATTTTATTTCAAATATTTACCAAATATTTCCCTTCTTCCTCTAGCATCAGTGTAATGTTAGCTGATAACAGTGAAATTAATGTTATATTTCAACAGCTAGTTTTCTATATCTAAGTGGAGAATGTATATATAGTAGACTAATGTGATACATCTAATATATTTCAACTATATATTTAAAACACCAATAACTTAACCAGTGATAAATATTGAAGCTGTTCTTATTATAGTTTTGTTGAATATATATTTGACATATTATACTAGTTGAAGATATATGTATGGAAGATACAAATGATGGATACATTCATATTATTGGAAGACATATTTTAGTTAAAAAGATTACTTTTATCTCAGTTAAGACGTTGACATATTTATTGACACCTAAAGAATACAGTTATGAGCTGGTAGTGCAGTGGTTAAAGCATTCAGCTGCTAAACAAAAAGTTCAACAATTCTGCTTCTGTAAAGATTTACAACCTTGGAAACCCTATGGAAAGTTCTACTCTGCCCTAAAGGGTCACTGTGAGTTAGAATTGACTTGAAGGTAGTGTTTTTTTTTTTTAAGATGGTAAGTTTTTACAAAACTCTTTGATTCGTTGACTTGTATAAATTCCTAAGGGGCAAAACTATGGCCACAGACCAAATTTAGCCCACTGTCATTTTTTTTTTTCTTCCCTACTGTTAGTTTTTGTAAGTAAAGTGTTATAGGAAACTGAGTCCTGCTCCTTAATTAGTTTACTTGTCTATGACTGCTTTTGTTGTACATCAGAGATCAGCAGTTGCGACAGAGACTCTATGGCTTTCAAAATCTAACCTATTTACTATTTGGCCCATTACAGAGAAATTCAACAACCCCTGTTCCCCTGTTCTACAGCTAAGGCGCTCTGGTGGCATAGTAGGTAAGATATTTGGCTGCTAACCAGAAAGTCAGTGTTTCAAACCTACCGGCTGCTGTGGGAGGAAGATGAGGCAATCTACTTTGGTCAAGGTTTACAGCCATGGAAACCCAATGGGGGTTGTTAGGAGTCAGAATCGACTCATTGGCAGTGGCTTTTTTGTTTGTTTGTTCTACAGTTACATTATACAATATGGTAGCCACATGTGTTGATTTAAATTAAAATTAATTAAAATAAAAATTTAATTCCTCTGGCACATTAGCTGTATTTCAGTGAATCAGCTTAGGTAATTTGTGGGTTTCTAAGAATTTGTCCATTTCGTCTAAGTTATTTGTTTTGTTGGTGTGCTATTGTTCATAATATTCTCTTATAATCTTTTTAGTTCTTTAAGATTCATAGTTATGTACATAGATTCATTTTTTACTTCAGTTATTTACATTTTCTCTCTTTTTTCTTTGTCAGTCTTGCTAAAGTTCTGCTGATTTTTAAAATCTTTTAAAAAAGCCACCTTCTGGTTTTGTTAATTCTCTCTACTATTTTTCTATTCTCTATTTGGTTCACATATTTGTTAGTTATCCAGTTTTTCTTCTGTTATGGATTTCTCATTTCATTCTATTGTGGTAGGAAAAGATACTTTGTATGACATCAGTCTTAGAAAATTTACTCAGACTCATTTTGTGGCCTGCCATGTGGTTTTTCCTGGAGAATATTCAATGGGTACTTGAGGAGAATGTACTTTCTACCATTTTTGGGTTGAGTCATCTATATATGTCATTACATGTAGTTGGTTTATACTATTGTTCAGTGCTCTATTTCTTACTGATCTTCTGTCTGAATGTTCTATCCACTACTGAAAGTGGTGTTTTGAAGTCTCCAGTCATAATTGTAGAAGTATCTATTTCTCCCTTCAGTTTGTTAACGTTTGCTTTATGTATTTCTGAGCTCTGTTTTTTGTTGTATATATGTTTATAATTGTTATATCTTCTTGATGAACTGACTCCTTTCTTAATACATAATGTCCTTCTTTGTCTCTTGTGGCAATTTTTTACTTAAAGTCTGTTTTGTCTTGTATCAGTACAGTCACTCCATTATCTTTTGGTTACTCTTTGCATGGAACAATTTTTTTTCCCCCTTCCTTTCACTGTCAATCTATTTTTCTTTGGAAATAAAGTAGGTTTCGTTTTGGATTTTTTTTCCCCTAAATCTGCCAGTCTCTGTCTTTTAATTGGTGAATTTATTTCATTTACATTTTTAGCAATTATTGATAAGGAAGTACTTCTTCCAGTTGGCTTTTCATTCCTTAGTTTTTTTGTTTTGTTCCTAAATTTTCTAATACTTTCTTCTGTGTTTGATTTTTTTTTTTCTCTAGTGCACCACATATAATCCAGCCTCATTTCTTTTTCTGGTTATTTTTAGTTTTTTCCTTTGCTCATTGCCATGAGGATCATAATTCTATTCTCTATA